TAAAAAAAATGTCCCTGTGAGATCCATTAATTGACTTCTTCCACTAAAGTCTCACAAAAATAAGAAAAGTCATAATACAAATATAAAAAAAAGTCTGGGTCATGAAAACCAGATTATGTATGTTCTCCTACAACTTTCCATGTTCTTCTTTCATCTTTTTTTTCTGTTGTTCATTTGAGATTTCAAATTCAAGTCAAGGAATAAATATTGAATGCATATAGATGATCAGAATAATACTTCATAAATGAAAAAAAAAGTAGTAGTATCGAGAGGGGAAAAACTGTTCTGTAATGATGAGCTTTGCACAGCGGGAATCTTATCATTAGTGCTCAAGAAGACTGACTTCTGCTGTGCAGTGACAGTAATAAGTAGCATCACACTCTGTTACAGAATAGTCATTACCCATGCACAAGAAGCTCTTTTTACTCTAAACTTGAAGATGTTAAAACTTCCTGAGATAAAGTAAGCTGCATTTTGAAAAATGAAGGTGTTTTGAACGGTTATTGGTGTTGCAGTTGAGTTGACACGCAGAACGTCTCCCTTTCTATGAATCTTTGTGAAGTAGAAGAGGACATTTTCCCCCCTTCCTTTTTCCTCCAGGGAATTCTGTAAATCACTAAGACTTTCTATCGGTATAAAATGTTCTGTTCTACTCTGTTCAAAGAGATCTAAGAGTGTTTTCACGAAGGACGATGGAAGGTCTTGATCGCAGCCTGAGGAAATATTTTGGAGATGGTGACAAGAGAATGTACAACTCAGTTAATTAGTAGTTAAAAAAAAAAGAGAAAAACAAAATACAACACAGTTTGGAGTTCTGACCCTCTGCTCACATTGAAAAAGACTTAGTACGCCCACAATCTGGATATACATTGTGTCCTTTACTCTCTATTGTGTAAATCCACTAGCTCAGATTCTCTTTAAAGTTGGGATTCATTAGGAAATAAGGTAACTGCCCTTGGGAATGGATTAAGGAGGATGTGTGTTATTTAGATTGTGAGGTTAAGCTTAGGTCATATGTTGGTCAGGGACAAAAAAGAAACAAGGTTGTACATCCAATTACTCTGGGTTATAAATGTATATCTAAATGTATGATGTATATCTAGCAGTAAATTTAAAGGGAAAATATCATTAAACACTTAAAAAACTAAATGATCATGGTAGAGTCTACATGGTCTCTATATAACAATTTACCTTAATTTTTACAGTGTATGCAAACCCTAAACATGACCTTCTCTAATTTGCTTCTTTTTTGCCTATTAACTGCCACCAACTTTGCATCTACAGTACAGACTGGCAAAATTACACACACACACATATATGGTATCTCACAGAAGTGAATACACCCTTCACATTTTTGTAAATATTTTATTCTATCTTATGTGACAACACTGAAGAAATGACACTTTGCTACAATGTGACGTAGTGAGTGTACAGCTTGTATAACAGTGTAAATTTGCTGTCCCCTCAGAGTAACTCAACAAACAGCCATGAATGTCTAAACTGCTGGCAACAAAAGTGAGTACACCCCTAAGTGAAAATGTACAAATTGGGCCCAATTAGCCATTTTCCCTCCCCCGGTGCCATGTGACTCGTTAGTGTTACAAGGTCTCAGGTGTGAATACACCAGGGGTGTAAAATTTGGTGTTATCGCTCTCACTCTCTCATACTGGTCACTGGAAGTTCAATGGCACCTCATGGCAAAGAGCTGAGGATCTAAAAAAAGAATTGTTGCTCTACATAAAGATGGCCTAGCCTATAAGAAGATTGCCAAGACCCTGAAACTGAGCTGCGGCATGGTGGCCAAGACCATATAATGGGTTCCACACAGAACAGGCCTCTCCATGGTCGACCAAAGAAGTTGAGTGCACGTGCTCAGAGCCACATCCAGATGTTGTCTGTGGGAAATAAACATATGAGTGCTGCCAGCATTGTTGCAGAGGTTGAAGGGGTGGAGGGTCAGCCCCTTGGTGCTCAGACCATAAACCTCACACTGCATCAAATTGGTCTGCATGGCTGTCGTCCCAGAAGGAAGCCTCTTCTAATGAGACCAAGATAAACTGATTTGGTTAAGATGGTGGCAAGTGCGTGTGGCGGCAACCAGGTGAGGAGTACAAAGACAAGTGTGTCTTGCCTACAGTCAAGCATGGTGGTGGGAGTGTCATGGGGCTGCATGAGTGCTGCCGGAACTGGGGAGCTACAGTTCATTGAGGGAACCATGAATGCCAACATGTACTGTGACATACTGAAGCAGAGCATGATCCTCTCCCTTTAGAGACTGCGCTGCAGGGCAGAATTCTAACATGATAATGACCCCAAGCACAACTCCAAGACAATCACTGCCTTGCTAAAGAAGCTGAGGGTAAAGGTGATGGACTGGCCAAGCATGTCTCCAGACCTAAACCCTATTGAGCATCTGTGGGGCATCCTGAAACACAAGGTGGAGGAGCGCAAGGTCTCTAGCATCCACCAGCTCCGTGATGTCGTCATGGAGGAGTGGAAGAGGACTCCAGTGGCAACCTGTGAAGCTCTGGTGAACTCCATGCCCAAAGGGGTTAAGGCAGTGCTGGAAAATAATGGTGGCCATACAAAATATTGACACTTTGGACCCAATTTAGACATTTTCACTTAGGGGTGTACTCACTTTTGTTGCCAGCGGTTTAGACATTAATGGCTGTGTGTTGAGTTATTCTGAGGGGACAGCAAATTTACACTGTTATACAAGCTGTACACTCACTACGTCACATTGTAGCAAAGTGTCATTTCTTCAGTGTTGTCACATGACAAGATAGAATCAAATATTTACAAAAAATGTGAGGGGTGTACTCACTTCTGCGAGATACTGTATATACATGATTTTGTTCTTCCAGGTAGGGGACTTGCCTGCCAGCCTACCCACACTGTCATTGGCTCCCTGCTTTGCAAAACTGTCACACCCCCTAGTAAAACAGCACACAGTACACAAATCACATATAGTTAGGCCCACAGTTAACTCTTCGATGAACCCCTTTCTGCCCAGTGTGATAAGCAAGCCACAACAAAGATAATGTACAGTGTTCCAGAAAACAAATTCCTGGAATATTTCCAGCAGTGGCACAGTTATCTAAAGTGTCGCTTCACATGGGGACTACTTTGAAGGTGACAATAGCCGCTATTGTATAGGTAAGCAAACCTTTTTTTTTTTTTTTAGTTCATTCCGGGAATTAAATTGTCAAATCTAGTACTTTGAGCCAGAAATCCGGTACGCTTGTATGTCTCTGTAGACTCACAGAGCGTCCTGTCCTAGGGTGACAATGCTGCTCCTCCATAGATACAGTGCAGTGAGTGACAAGATAGAAAGGGTACTACTGGCAGAATCACCTTGTAAAAAATAAAGGGTACAAAGACTGAAAATCAAAATTAATGCAGCCACCACAGCTGATGACTGTCAAGCTGGTGTATCATATTTTCTCATTAAAAACACATTTATCATTTAATTTATCTAATAAAATGGGCTTTACTTTCACTGGTGATGATGTCACAATAAAAAAAAAATCTTTCTCATTAAAATATGGTCTCCAATGGGTCCTGCACACTTAGGGACAGGAAGTCCATCCTCTCAGAGAAACCCCTTACTAGTTCATCACACGTTGTGGAAACTTGGTCTTGAAACTTGTTTTGTCTGCTAAATCACTAACAAAATGGATTGTCTGGGATTCGCTCATCACTGACCACTGCTCTCCAGTATATCGATGTTTCTCTTAAAAGCCATAGAAAGGTTCATTCTGCACTTAACGAACAATCACTTCTCCTTCACCAAGAAGGGTGAATAATTAGACTGTATCTTGCATCAAATGAGTTTTGCTCTAGTAGTACAGATTATTATCTTTTCCTTGATTCTGCTGATGGTGTTATCAGCACATACATGACTAGGCTTTGTCTAGTTTTATCCATAGGAAACATTTAGCCATCAGTTGCAGCATGTTGGAAAATTTCTGTGTTGGACAGCAATGACTACCAGTCATCAGGAATGCTCAATACTGCTCAAAACAAAAGGCTTGATTAATGTAGATGCACGAATTGGTTTCTTCGCTTGGTTTTATCAGGCCATATATATATCCAATTTGGTAATGGACATATTACTAATGTTGGATATCTTTGGGTCCTTGACAAACAGAAAAGAAATCTAGAGGTGGAGAGGGGGGGTCAACTTTATGCTTGTACACTAGGAAATATATTTTCAATTCAAATGTTGCAAGATAGAAAACAACTCTTAAAATTTTGTTTAATGATCCCGTTGATTCCATGTGTACAAATTTGACCCTACTTTACAGCCTTTGATGGTACCTACCATACACTAAATACCTTCATTGTGTCAACGTCTGATCGAAATAAAGTGGTTGTAAAGGCTGAAGGTTTTGTCCCTTTATGTATTCAATGCATGAAGGTAAAAACCTTCTGTGTGATGTTCCCCTCTCAGCCCCCCTAATACTCACCTGAGCCCACTCTCAATCCAGTATTGTGCAGGACAGTCTCTACTGTCCTGGGTCTCTCCCTCCTCATTGGCTGAGAAACATCAGTTAGAGCCACTGGCTCACACTGCTTTCAATCACAGCCAGTGAGGAGAGAGTGGGGGGTGGGGCCGACCAGTGGCTCTATGTGTCTTATGGACCCATACTGTAGAGCGTGGCTCTGAAGTGAGTACGCACCTGTGCCCCCATAGCAGGCCACTTGCCATTGGTGGCACTGGTTAAGGGGGAGAAGTCAGGAGAGCTGGTGGGGACCCGAGATGAGGAGGATCAGGGCTGCTCTGTGCAAAATCATTACACAGAGCAGGTAAGTATAACATGTTTGTGTTTTTTTTTTTTTTAAATCTAACCTTTAACCTCCCTGATGGTATTCCTCAGTGTAGCTCGGGGTTAAGTTTCAGTACCAGAAGTGATAACCCTGAGCTATACTCAGGATTACCCTGCACTGTTGCTCTGGGATTCCCTGTTTCACTTACCTTGTCCTGCGCTCCCGCGATGTCCCCCCTGCAGCGTCCCGGGCCATCTCCTCCGGCTGATGCCAGCATCCGTCTTCCGGGTTCTGGTCCCTGCGAGCGTTGGGACGTACAGGACATACGGGGGCTGGAACTGGTGGGGAAACTTAAAAATGTTAAAAAGGGACATTCACTAAATACACTAGACTAAATACAATAGACTTTGAAGAAGGGGAAATACCCCGAAAGCTTGTCCTCAAAATTGTATGTTAGTGCAAATAAACAAAGTATCACGGACAGTAGTCAATTGTTTCTGTCGCAAATGCACTAATACGGCTACAATCACCTCAAACTAAATACACTAAAATCACATAGTAAAACATTACTGTATCAAAGCATTTCACATACATTTTGTCCCGAGTGCTTTGTCCTGTGCCCTGCCTGCATTTTTACTGTTTTTACTGCCTTGAAACTGAGAAACGTCCATGGTGTCCAAAAAGCGTCCCTTTATATAAAAAGCGGTTTTAGACCAGCTAGAGAACAGCGATAGTAAATCAGAACCACTTGCAGAATTGAGTAATAATGATTCATGGTGAAATTCGTCATCAGACACTGAAAACGATTTTGCGACTAAGCTCAGTGATGTGCGAACTTGGCGCTATATTTAAAATGTCAGTGTTTTTGGTTTGATTACATTATTGAATTAACTTTATTATTATTATATTATTTTTTATGATTCTTTATTATATTATAATTTATGATTTCGTGTTTCAAATTTTATCATACCTGGGATGTTTACTAGACTCTTGTTTGGACAGATTTTAGTGAGTAATTCCTAAAAATTACAGGCCTACAATAAAAAAAAATGACATATTTCCATGCAAAAAAAGTACCACTTTGAGCACAGAAATATTGACATAATCATACCACTAGTGAGGTTAATATCACTATAATAAAGACAGGCAGCATAGGTGTAAATCAGGTGAAATACAACCCCTGTACAATTATTATTATTTTTATTATTATACAGTATTTATAAAGCGCCAATAGTTCGCTCAGCGCTGTACATTACAAAGGGGGACAGAACATGTGACAGAACAATACCAATACAATGCAAATCATGAGGGAATTGAGGGCCCTGCTCCTTGGAGCTTACAATCTAGGAGGGAGAGGATGGAGGCACAGGAGGAGAAAGCTGTGGGGGATGGAGTGGTAGGAAGAGTGGAGGAGGTCGGCAAGTTAGCAGGGGGTGGGGTAGGCTTCCCTGAAGAGGTGGGTTGTCAGGGTGCGCCTAAAGGAGAGGAGAGTAGGTGATAATCTGATGGGTTGGGGCAGGGAGTTCCAGAGGATGGGTGACACCCTGGAGAAGTCCTGGAGGCGGGCGTGGGAGGAGGAGACCAGGGAACTAGAGAGAAGGAGGTCTTGTGAGGAGCGGAGTGTGCGTTCTGTGCGGTACTTGGATATTAGGTCAGTGATGTAGTTCGGGGCAGTATGGTGGACAGCTTTGTACGTCAGTGTTAGGATTTTGAATTTGATACAATAATATAATATATTTACTGTATGTCTTCCAGGGTAAAGGTGTAGTTGAAGACTTTAGGGGCCCATTCATATCCCTGTGTTGGGGTTACTTCAACACGAGCTATATTCATTGATGCACTGGGGTGACAATTATTGTGACTAGCACTGTAACGCACCTCCAAATGAATATTTGCTGCAACACACAAGCATGGTGTTCCATTTTTGCATATGTTGCTGTGCATTTCAGGCCATTTATTTTGAATGCACTGCAACACAATGCATGTGAATGCGTGACAACAATTACACAAAGCTAAGGTTTGAATGGCCCTAAATACCTGTCAGCACTTGGGACTATGCTATAACAGAAGTGTTGTTTGCCATAGCAATCCATATGTTCAGCCAAGTGATCAGCCATTGTTATGGCAAAAAAATTGTTTATTGAAGCCTTTCACGCAGGTGAAAGCCTTTACTGTAATGCACATCTTACATAGTACTGCAGGGGAGGACTGGAAACCAGGGGGCAGGGCAACGCAATAAATTAGCCCTTTCATGACAAGGACAGATTTGTATTCCTAAAAAAGTGTACATTACAAAGTGGGCCAAAGGTGGGTGTTCTATTTGTTTTTTTTTTTTTTTTTCATAAAAATGTTATTGAGTAAACAAGTTAATACATTGAAGAAATTCCAAGTACAGCACATACTTTGCAATGTAGGTACAGAATGCTGCGTCATCAATGTTGCGTGGCCTACATCAGGTAGTGGAGCCTAAACCTGGAAGTGAGTATCTGGACAATATATAGTATAACAAACCTTTGAACAGAAGAGTCAATATGAACAGCACACAGCAAAACAGACATAGCAGCAGCAAAGCCCCTATGGCCCAAGGTAGGCAGGCCAATCCCCTCTCTGCTATGCTCATATGCCCCCAACATTGAGGGGACCCTAGGAGGGGAGGGATAGGGATATCTAAGTAAAATCCTCTTTGAAAGGCATATTGTGTGAGCCAAAACCAAAGGTTAGGAGGTAGGTGGGGAGGGGATGATTCAAGAGTTCAGAGGGAGTGAGGGAAAAGCATAGAAAAGGGAAGAAAAAAAAAGAAAATGGAGGAGGAAAAAAAAGACAGGTCATTGGGGAGAGAGGCTGGGGAGTAGCGCCATTTGCCATCCCCGTCTCCACCTGCAGACTCAAATCTAGGAAAACTGTACGGTGCTCTGGTTTATTGTAACACATCATCACATCTTGCAATATCAGCTCCCTTTGCACCTCTTAGCATTTGGAGCCACAAAGGAAGACACAGTTGGAAGACTTCCCTCTGTCAGATCTTGTGATCAAATGTTTGAATGGGGAACAAGTAGCTTTATAATGCTCTCTATGTGTTACTGACCACTGACCCCATTCTGATCAATGTCTGAATGGTGAAGTATCTTCAACCAAGGCCACCAACCCAACATATATTATTAGTACTGGCCATGGTTGGGGGGGGGGGGGGCTCCTCTACACTTCTGCCCAGTCCTCCCCTGCTGTACAGTACAATGAGGGGGTTAAAGAGGTACAGGCAATGTCTTGAATGTACTGTAAGCTTTAGTATGCTATTTTATGACTGTCAGCATTAGATGGTTCTGTGGACATGTGACATCTCACCATGCTTTAGCTTTTACCCTGGGTTTAATAAATTATATTGTTTACAGTCAAAACATATTATTCAAATATCACTGAACATCGGCAGATCGCACAATTTTAAAATCACATTGAAATGACATACATAAGAAGATAACTCTTTGAATGTTGTTTTCTTGGCCTTTTCTACTAGCACTTCAACTTTAGGAAAGTGGCTACTACTTTGCAATCTAAACTGATTTACACATTATTAGTGCTAAATTGCTGCAACGTGACCAGGCACAGGTATCATTATGTTTAATGGGAAAGAAATGAGATCCCCAGGATATCACAAATTACATTTTATGCCTCCCAAATCTATGAGAACTATATATGTTTTCCAATAGCATTCAGAGAATAAAATTGTAGGTCTTGTGAAATGCACACAAAGGTTAGCTTGTGCTTTTGAAGATAATATATTTTTCAGCATGAGGTGCTGCTAAGTAGACTATTTCTGTATTTTTTTTCTTTAAATTACTTCTCGTAAACATGATTTTTCTTTGTATGTTTTATTAGCTTCTTGGTTATTATCACTGGATGATTGTTTTATATCCTTAAGGTATTCAGCCAGCAGTTGTTCTCTTGCAAAAGTAAACTTGGTAATCTGTGTGTAATAGATGCTAAGATGTCTTGTTTAAAAATGTTCTGTGGGCATATTTATTTAAAGCAATGAATGTGACTTTCATCAAACAATCACTGATGGTAGATCAATTACTATCATTTAAAATGTATGACACTGGAAGATTCAACTGCAGAGAATGTTTGGTGAATAACAGATTCACTGCTTTATATTTATTTATTACAGGTACTTATATAGCAACATCAATTTACACAGCACTTTACATAGATATTGTACATTTACATTTGTCCCTATCCCTCAACAGGTGTTCAAATCTAAGGTCCCTAACTTACATTCATACATACACATACTAGGGTCAATTTAGACATGATCCAGTTAACCTACCAGCATGTCTTTGGAGTGTGGGAGGAAACTGGAGTACCCAGAGGAAACCCATGCAGCCACTGGGAAAACATGCAAACTCCAGGCAGGTGGTGCCGTGGTTAGGATTTGAACCAATGACCCAAGTACTGGCAGGTGGAAGTACTAACCATTTAGCCATTGTATATGACTCCCCTGCCTCTGTTGTTTTGGACAAAATGTTGCTCTGAATTAAACCGGTAGATAGAAGACCCTTTGTTTTTATTTGAGGTTTTAAGCCTAAAGCTGGCTATAGATGCATCAAAGTTTGGCCGGTTCATCAAGGACCACCCAAATTTTGATCCACCTATGGGCAGGCTGGTTGTATATAACTCAATCCCTTCATTGACTTCTGTACAACCAGCCTGTTAAAAATGTTTTGCTCAATCAGTGCCGCCAGCTACAGCCAGTGGTGCTGATTAGTTTATTTTGATAACAGGGAAGTCTCTCCACTGCCAGAATGCAGTAGCTCCATGGAAAGGATTCCCCATCCATCTCAAATATATGGATGGGAGAATCGATTAATTTTTCTTTGTTCAACCCACTGTTTGAACAAAAGAAAATGAATTATGTATGGCCTATCTAAATGGCCTTTTGGAACTTAATGTAAAAGTGGAATTGAACTTAAAAAATTTAAGATTTCCTGTCTTATCGGGAACATTTAGAAATGTTTATTGTGCCTACAGTGCAAGGACCTACAGTGCAAGGACCTCCTTGCCTCTGCTTCATCCATTTTGTGGATCTCTGCTCTCTCCACCTCTCCTGCTGCTTCTTGAATATCCCCCCTACTGTCGTCAGATCAGAAATCATGGGGAAGGGGGGGGGGGGGGGGGGCAGCTCTGCCTCTACCAAGATGACCTGATGAAAAACATACCTGAAGAGAACCTACAGACCTTTGGCCTTTGCATGTCACTTGGGTACAGCTTCTGCAGTACAGGTCCCTCTCTAGGCCCCATAATCACTTTATGGTAAACACTGTCTAACTGTTCACTTTGTATATGGCTTCTGTAAGAAAGTTAGGCTGTGGATAGTGTACCTTAAAATGAAACTAAAGGCAGTATACTTACCTTCTCTCTAACTGTATGGGTCCCTCCTTGGCGCTGGCATCTTCTGGGTATCGGTCTTCAGGCACCTCCATTGGCCAACATTGATTGACATAACTCCTGCACATGCACTGGAGGCACTCATTGTGGCACGCAGGGACTGGCTGCATATGTGAAGCTCAGTTTACATGCCGCAGAAGACTAAGAGCAGGCAGGTAGGCATTTTATTGCAGAAAAGACATTGTACAGCTCTTCTGAGATAATAGCCTTCCTGCAAGCTAAATGACTTTAGTTCCACTTTACCACTGATAGCAACAGGAAAAAAGAAAGATAAAGGAAATCTTTCCTGATAGAAGCACAGAAACTGCCACTGTGTGTT